TTTTTTTTTTTTCAGACAGGGTCTCACTCTGTTGGGCAGGCTGGAGTGCAGTAGTGAGATGTCACAGCTCATTACAACCCTGACCTCCTGGGCTTAAGCAGTCCTTCTACCTCAGCCTACAGGCATATGCTACCAAGCCCAGCTAATTTTTCTATTTTTTTTTTGTAGTGATGAGGTCTTGCTCAGGGCTGGTCTCGAACTCCTGGACTCAAGTGAAATGACTTTGGTGATGCTCCCACCACAGCCTCTCAAAGTGCTGGGATTGCAGGCATGAGTCACCTGGCCTCAAGTGATCTTCCTACCTCGGCTTCCTAAAGTGTTGGATTACAGGTATGAGCCACCACGCCTGGCCTGTCGGCTCTTATTTGCATTTGATTGACAATCACAGCATTCCTATGCAGCAGGCAGGGTAAGTATTATGTACTTGCCTCAGTTTATAGGTGATGAGTTCGAGGCTGGGAGACGTAAAATGACTTTGGAGAGTTGTTCAGGGAGGAGGTAACACTATGCTTGATTAAGCCAGTCTGTGACAACTGACAGATCCAAAAAGTGAAATAGGACTGGGAGGGATGGCTCACGACTGTAATCCCAGCACTTTGAGGGGGGTGGATCACCTGAGGTCAGGAGTTCAAGACCAGCCTGACCACTACAGGTATTGATCCACTTACGACCTATGCAACTTACGACTATTCGACTTTATGACCACAATCGCTAGCCACGACTGCTTCGCGTCTGGCAGCGCAAACGTTGCCCAGCTGGGCGTACGACAGTGCGGACCAGCTTCCGGCAGCACTACCATTTCCACGTGCATATAGCCTACTCAACTTACAACCAAATTGTGTTACGAACAGTCTGTCAGAACCAATCGTGGTCGTAAGTCGAGCACTAGATGTATGGTGAAACCCTGTTTCTATTAAAAATAACAAAAATTAGCCAGACATGGTAGTGGGCATCTGTAATCCCAGCTACTCAGGAGGCTGAGGCACTTGAACCCAGGAGACAGAGGTTGCAGTGAGCTGAGAGCATGCCACTGCACTCCAGCCTGGGAGACAGAGTGAGACTAATTTCAAAAAAAAAAAAAAGGTGAAATAGAAAGATAGACACATCTTTCTTCATGATAGAATTCTACAGAGTGCCACTGGTCTCAAAGATATTTCACTCTTTCTGGTATATAATAACGTCTGTGTAGTGGAGGTAGTAACTTGGACATGTCAATGTATACGCCACCGTGGAGACCCCAACATCTAATTTTACAGACAGAGAACAATGACTAGCTGGGTTTAACAGCCCAGGTGTACAAGACCGTAAGCATATGGAAGCGGAAGCCTTATTGAAGAGATTATGAGCCTCACCCTTGCTGGAGGGACTGCACCACCCGGCAGCAAGCCTTTAGCTGAGCTAAAGCTGGCCCAGCATTTCTTTCATACATTTTTTTCCTTTTTTTGAGACAGAGTCTCACTTTGTCACCCAGGCTGGAGTGCAGTGATGCCATCTTGGCTCACTACGACCTCCGCTTCCCAAACTCAAGCAATTCTCCTGCTTCAGTCTCCAGAGTAGCTGCAGTTACAGGCGCCCACCACCGTGCCCAGCGAATTTTTGTATTTTTAGTAGAGGTGGAGTTTCACCATGTTGGCCAGGCTGGTTTCAAACTCCTGACCTCAAATGAACCACCCGCCTTGGTCTCCCAAATTGCTGGGATTACAGGTCTGAGCCACTGTGCTCAGCCTATACTTTTAAGTGAGCAGCTGAACTGATAGTCCTTCCATTTCTGACAAACCCACTGATTTAATCTGGCATATGGACACGGGACACCACTCCACTTAATCACCGCACGTGCCTTTTATCTTTGGTATCTTTCTTAGCTTCTCCAAGAAGGCCAGCAAGAGGAATGGCAAGGGAGCAGGACCCTGCTTTACACCAGCTGCATTTCTGATCAGCCCAGGACGATTCACAAGCAGCAGACAACATGGCAGCCGCTAGCAAAACTTTGGGGTGAAAAGAATGACCCAAATTGGCCAAACGGGAGCTATGAGGAACTGAAATAAAACAGCGTGTCATTTTTCTCTCTCTAGCCGTTTTATTAGGTGTAATTTGGACGTCACTGATGTGCACTCACAAACATCTTCGTGCGCTCACATGAGACTTGAGCTCATGAATATGATGGTCAGAGGGACTTTGAATGTGTTTCAATCATTATATTACATTTCCTCTTTTATATGATATGAATGTTCGGAGAGAAGTAAACATAATCAGCAATGTACTACTTGAGGGCAAAGAAAAGATGTTCCCGCTATTTCTCTCACAAACTCATAGTGTGACTAATACTTGTTCTGTTTGTCAGCAAAATCATCAGAGACCACAAGCAGCTGTGGCCGCCACCTGAGAAAATCCAGGATGTCCCACTGTTGGCAGGGGAATTGTGCTGTACCAATACCCGTGGTTTCTGGTGGGTACCTGTCAACCTTGACCAGGTTAGGTACATGCGAATTCTAGATTTAGATTTGCATATCCAGGAACTGCAGCAAACACGATGAGAGGCCCAGAGCAGAAAGCAGCTTTTTAACGTGGCCCAGCTCCTTATGTATTATTATCTAATCGAGGAAGCCATTTGACATCAGGTGGAGTGTAATGATGTGCTGTGAAGAATCGTATGGGATGGACTTATCCTACTCTTTACCACCCGCAAGCGGGTGGACTGATTGAGGTCACAGTGGGCATTTGAAACATTTGCTTACCAAATTTGGAGGTAAGGAGGTGATCAGGGGATTGAAAGGATGGCTTGCGTCATAGAACCCACGGGGGTTAACACTTTTAAAAAAGGCCTAATTGAAATTATATGAAAATATTAGTTGCTAGTGCAATAGAACGCAAGATCTTTTAACACTGTAGACCATTTAGAGTAGTAAATTGGCACATTGCTGAAGAGATTTTGAGATCTGTTAAGAGGCTGTGCACAGTGTCAAGTGCTTATAATCCAAGCACTCTGGGAGGCAGAGGCAGGGGGATTTCTTCAAGCCAGGAGTTCAAAACCAGGGTGAGCAACATAGTGAGACTTTGTCTGTATACACACACACACACACACACACACACACACACACACACACACACAGCGCCAGGTGTAGTAGTGCACACCTGTAGTCCCAGCTATTTGGGAAGCTGAGGCAGGAGGATCCCTTCAGACCAGGAGTTCAAGACTGCAGTGAGTTATGATTTTGCTACTGCACTCCAGGCTGGACAATAGAGTGAGACCCTCTGGTTTCTTCATTCAGCTTCCAAGTAAAATCTGGTTAGTTAGCAAATAAATAGCTCCTGAAGTCAGATTTTTTCTTTATTGCAAGGTTTAGTTGATGAAAGTAAAACATTTCAACAGAACCAGTTACTCTAGCTAAAGTGCAGCTAGAGTCATCCTAGTATAAGGAAATCAGAGAAGGTATTCTTGAGTGCTAATGTACATTTTAAACAAAACTCTAAGAAAATGCTTATTTTATTTATTTATTTATTTATTTATTTATTTATTTATTTATTTATAAGATGGCGTCTCGCTTTGTTTCCCAGGCTGGAGTGCAGTGGCACAATCTTGGCTCACTGCAACCTCTGTCTCCCGGGTGCAAGCAATTCTCCTGCCTCAGCCTCCCGAGTAGCTGGGACTACAGGCGCATGCCACTGTATTCGGCTAATTTTTGCGTTTTAGTAGAGACAGGGTTTCACCATGTTGCCCAGGCTGGTCTTGAACTCTTGAGCCCAGGCAATCTGCCCACCTTGGCCTCCCAAAGTGCTGGGATTACAGGAGTGAGCCACTGTGCCCAGCCCAGAAAATGTTTATTAACTGGTATCTATTTAATCAGAGGTGTCAATTACTAGGAATGTTTGTGTATGTCGCTTTTTATAAGACCATGCAAATAATCACAAAATAATTCTTCTATTTTTAGCTAACAAAATGAAACGAACAGCAACTACCATTTGTTAATGACCTATTATGTTTCTAAGTACTTTTTTTTTTCTTTGAGACCGAGTCTGGCTCTGTCACCCAGGCTGGAGTGCGGTGTCACAATCTCAGCTCACTGCCACTTCTGCCTCCTGACTTCAGGTGATTCTTCTGCCTCAACCTCCCAAGTAGCTGGATTATAGGCCCATGACACCACACCTGGCTAATTTTTGTATTTTTAGTAGAGATGGGGTTTTGCCATGTTGGCCAGGCTGGTCTTGAACTCCTGACCTCAGGTGATCCACCCGCCTCGGCCTCCCAAAGTGCTGGGATTACAGGCGTGAACCACCATGCCCGGCCTGTTTCTAAGTACTTTATCTTACAGTAGCTACATGGTAGATCCTGTGTCCATTTTGCCTATGAGGACATTAAGGCTGAGAGGCTGAGTAATTTACCTTTGCTAGTTACAGAGCTAGTAACAGGCACGTCTCTCTGACATCAAAGCTCATGTTTCTTCTTAACTGTCTCTGTGAAGTCTTAATTCAGAAAACTCTTCTGTGCGGTATATGCAGGGTCCATAAACATTTTAAGTCAATCTTCCATGGCTGTCACAATACACCGTGTGTGTGTATCTACATACCCATATACACATATGAAATGGAACGTTAAGGGAGTCTTCTGCTGTCTGTGTGAGACAGAGCCTTCCTGGGGCATTTCCCCAGGGGAAATGTTGAATTCTTAGGTCCTGAAACTGGATTTTATCAGTTAATGTTGTCCAGGGGTGTGACTGATGCTAACCAAACTGACTGAAAAAAAAAAAAAAAAAAGTGTCCTTGAGCCCCGTTAAGGTTTTCCACCTACTTCTATATGAAAATCTCAATGATCTGTAACCCACCTAATCAGGGTTCTCTTTATCCTCGGTGCACTGGTCCAAGCCACCATCACTTCTAGACTATCACAATAGCTTCCTTGCACTTCCTGCGTCTATCTTTGCCACCTCAACCTCCTTCCCTAATCCAGTCCTGAGTGCACACTTGAAAATCTAATATTTTAGTTAATAAATTGGCAATACCTTTCTAGGTGAGTGAAATTACTTTCCACTGGAAGGAACATGGCTTAAAAATCAGGGCCGGGCATGGTGGCTCACGCCTGTAATCCAAGCACTTTGGAGGCCAAGGCGGGCGGATCATCTGAGGTTGGGAGTTCAAGACCAGCCTGACCAACATGGTGAAACCCTGTCTTTAAAAAAAAAAAAAATCTGGGCCAGTCATTTGCCCAAGGCCCTTCTGTCTAGTGGGCTGATCTTGCTGTGCTATGCCAAAGACGTGGACAGGTGGTGGCTTGACGCACAGAGAATTAGAACAAAAGGAACAGTCTCTGCAAGGAGTATTTCTATCTGGTAGTGATGCCCTGATAGATTGTCAGGTATCCTGACTGCTAACTTAGTCCCCTGTGCATATAGTACATCCAATGTTTGCTTAACTGGAAAATGCCAGTCTGGATAACTGAGCTTTCGTGGTACGTTCTGTTTGGTAATAAGGCCATGGCTACATTCCTAATAAGCCTTGGGTTATGAAAAACTAAATTAAAAAATAATTATTTCATTTTCTTGGCCCCTTGAGGATTAACTTGATAAAAAATAATTATTTCAATGGTTAAAAGAGGGAGAAACTTTCACACAAATTATTTGTTTTCGCAGGCATTGCCATTATAAAGGTATTTAATAGATATATTTTGTTACTGAAAACTTAAAACTGTGAATTATTTAATCAAAATGGGCAAAAACAATCCTAAATATCACAGAAGAAAGCCTATACAGCATACAAGATGGGAAATAAAAATCCATGTATTTATGAATCAGGAAAGCGCACTGTAGCACAGATTGTGGCCCCCAGTGGAGAGCACAGAAGCAAGATGGTGCCTGGGCCATGGGCCACTGAAACCAAGTGTGCCTATGAATGCACTCAGCCTTTTCTCTTCCTTGCACAGTGCTGGTACCTGTTCACGATCATGATAAAGCCAAGTATGATAGGGTTGTGGATTAAATATACCCCCTGGCCGGGTGCGGTGGCTCACGCCTGTAATCCCAGAACTTTGGGAGGCCGAGACTGGTGGATCACCTGAGGTCAGGAGTTCAAGACCAGCCTGATCAACATGGAGAAACCTCATCTCTACTAAAAATACACAAATCAGTTGGGTGTGGTGGTGCATGCCTGTAATCCCAGCTACTCAGGAGGCCGAGGCAGGAGAATCGCTTGAACCTGGGAGGCGGAGGTTGAGGTGAGCTGAGAGCATGCCATTGTACTGCAGCCTAGGCAACAAGAGTGGAAAAAATAAAATAAAATAAATATATCCTCTAAAGCTCATGTGTTGGAAACTTAATGCCCAATGCAGTGATATTGGTAGGCGGGGTCTAATGGGAGGTGTCTGGGTCACGGAAGCACCACTCTCATGAACAGATTAATGCCATTTTCTCAGAAATGGGTTCATTATCCTGGGAGTGGTTTCTTTATTAAAAAAACAAGTTCCGCTCTCCCCCATTTCCCTGGCTTCTGCCATGGGATGACTCATGAAGACCCTTGCCAGATATTGGCTTCTAGAATCATAAGTCGATACATTTCTGTTTATTATACATTACCCAGTCTCAGGTATTTTGTTATTGCAGCAAGAAATGGACTAAGACCATATGTGTAATGTGAATCATGCCCCCGTCAGTATCACTTTATTTCTAATTCACATTATAAAAATACGTATCAAAGGAGCTATGTCTATACATATGGTCATTCCTGCTTCTGTGAATCAACCAAAAAATTAAAAAAAGAACATAGAGAAGATGTTTTTGCTCTTTCTAATGTGGCAGGCCAGTCTTTATGTCAAAGTGTGGTCTCCCCAAAGGACAGGCTGCAGGGAAGGATACACAGTGGGCATCATGGTGTAACCAGATCCTGGGTTCGCAAAGCAGTCCATGCTGTCCAGTGGGGAAAAGCACCTTTCATTTGTTAAAACTGAATGCTTGCCAGAGTGTGCCCCTTTCATTTGGAAGTGCTACTAAAAGGATGCATTCACATCCACCAGCTGTCTGATAGTTCCCATCTTACCTGGAAGTGAATGATAGGATGGGAGCTGGGGAAGAG